GGTCCCCCCCTGGCGGGCCACACGGGAGGGGCCTTGTGTTTGACACGTGCTTTATAACTTGTGAAATGTTGTAGAATAAGAGAGCAAACACTTGACAAACAAAGTGAATGTCGCACGCAGCCTTTGCAGGACGAGCAGCTTGGTCACACACAAAGTTGGACATATCTGTTGGATAACGGCGCTCTGAGCACAAATATTTAATATGAAGTTAGGTTTTATAAAGGAGAGAAATGAGGGAGGAGGTTTCACTCACTGACTGACCACTGCCTGCTCCGCTCTGATTGGACGGTGCTCTGGGGGTTTGTTTCATTTGTTGAAAGTAGTGGTGCGTTTAGGGATAGACTGGAGTGGGTTTAACAACACTGTAACAGAGGGTTTTTTTTCCCGCCCTTACAGATGACGGAAATCCGTCGTGGCGACAGAGAACTTTTAGCCCCGAGTTAGTTTTTAGCTGAGAAGCTGATTTTATTCCTGAAAATGTTGATTTTCAGAGCGTGCCTTAGCTTGGTCTTTACTGAGCGGGAGCGTGAAGTCTCCGTGCAGCAGGCCGTTCCTCTCCATGAACACCACGCTGTGTTTGTTGGGCTGACGCTGAGAGCAGGCCATCAGGCTGCCTGAAGGTCTGAAACAACACGAGAGATGAGATTCAAACATCGAACACACCTGTACTTCTATAGTTTTAACTTGAAGAAAAGCCTCACTTCCAGCAGAGAGCCTGCTCCAGGCCGTTGATGGGCTCACTGGTGGTCTGCAGGACCCCCTCTCTGTTCCAGACCCGGACCTTCCTGGCTCCGGTCTGAGGGCAGACGGCGCTGATGGCGAAGAGCTGCCCGTCTCCTCGCCAGGTGACGCGCGGCCGGCGGTCGTCCCAGGCCAGAGCCGGCTGCACCTCCTGTGGGCGAACACTCCCACAGTTCAAACTGTTAAACCTCACCTGTTCTACCGATGACATCATCACTCACCTGGAGCTTCCGCCGCGCTGCCTGTTTCCCCTCCGAACCGTGGAACTGAGTCTCCTTTTTGCCCCAGCCCACGGTGATGAATTTTCCTATGAATCAAAGCAAACATTTTAACACGATAAATAAACTTCTGTTTCTGTCAGAAACTGTTTGAAGAGACGATACCTTCACCGAAATCCTCCTGGTGAATTCCCACCTCTGTGATTGGTTCAAACTCTTTGGTCATCATGATGATGGTTTCCTGACCTGTCAACACAAATCGTCTTTAGTTTAATAAATTAAAACACAGACGAGCATTTTTAATAGGGGTGTCCCGATACTGGGTTCGTGTGGATTATCTGTTCAACTTGTTGAATATTAAACTGAATGAAAATGAAATGCAATTATCATGAAAAAATTGATGGGTAAATATTATGTTTGACAATAAAAAGGTAGTGCAAACTCTGCCAAGTAGATAAGTTGGTATATACAGTATATCACACCATAACTTTTGAAACCATTTATTTTATTTCAAACAGGGCTCTTTTTTATAAGGCCACACTCCCTCTGAATGGATTAACAATACAAATACTGCAAAACAAATGCTGTTGCATATATTAAAAAACAAAATAAGTTATTTTTATACATT